TCCCTAGTCATTGTCCAGCTCTCTGACACATAGCAAGCAACTGCGAAGACTATGGCCTGGATCAGGTGCACCTTAGTCTCCAGACTGACATTGTTGCTCTTTAGTACTCTGGAAAGGTCCCTCACAGCTGACTTTCCCAATGCAATTTTCCTCTGCCTTTGTAATGACCTTTTGCATTCATCATGGACGATATTATTGATATCCTTCCACAGTTCATTTGATTTTCGCTCACTGGTGTTCAAGGCCTCAAACCTGTTCCTATGATGGTTTTGAAATTTGAGTGGGCTAGATTTAAGGTAAAATTTTGGTTCCTGTGGATTTGATTTGATTTTTTTATTTTATTTTCTTCAACTTCAGCTTGAACTTGCATATGAGTAGTTGGTGTTCTGTTCCACCGGGTGTTCAGTATTGTTCAGTGGTGGTCAGTCAGCACTGGGCCTGATTTTCACAGCTGATATTGAGTTTCTCCAGCAATTCTTTTCACAGATGTAATTTATTTGATTCCTATGCATACCATCAGGTGAAATCCATGTATACAGCCTGTGTTTGTGTTTCTTACAAAAGGTATTTGAAATAAATAAATCACTGAATGTGCAGAATTCTATCATTCTATCTTCAGCTTCATTTCTGTCACCAAGTCCACGTTTTCCAACTATGATCCTTCTTCCCTGTTCCCAACCTTTGCATTCTAGTCACTCATTATTATGAACGCATCTTGATTGCATGTTCAATTTATTTCTGACTACAAAAGTTGGTGGAAATCTTCTATTTCAAAATCTTCTATTTCCTCCTCTTTGGCTCTAGTTGCCGGTGCATTTATTTGAATGATAGTGGTATTCACTGGACTTCCTTGTATGTGTATGGATATTATCCTGTCACTCACCACATTATATTTCATGAAAGATCTACAAATCACTTTAATTATGAAAGCAACCCCATTTCTTCCTCACCTTTTGATCTCTGTCATAGTAGATCATATGATCATCTGACTCAAAATGTCCCTGCCAAGTCATCTCACTTCACCAATAGCTAGTATGTCAATATTTATGCATCCCATTTCTTTCTTTTCTTTTTTTAAATTGAGATTTTAATGAAAGTTTATAAAGAACTTGGATTTCCATTCATTCATTGTTGCACATTTTCCTCCGTGACCCACCTCCCCCCTAGTTCACTTTTTTCTTTGGAAAAAAAAATTCTTTCATTGCTATACAGTGGCACCACCCAGAACACTTTACCATGCAGCTCGTATTCTGGACTCTCGTCATGCCAATAATACCTAATCATATATTCCTTTTATACAGTTCTCTTCCTCATCTATTTAAATGCTGTGTAAATTACTTACTCCCTCTTTTCTTAGTTTCCCTCCCAACCCCCATGTCAGTCCTGTTTTATAACAGTGGCATTATGCAGTATTTGTCCTTTTGTGACTGAGATATTTCACTTAGCATAATGTCCTCCATGGCCACCCATTTTTAATATTATTTCATGAGTTCTTTGCTTTTTCAGTGCTGCATAATACTCAATTGTGTGACTATACCACAGCTTTGTTGATGGGTTGATGGGTTGTTTTCAACTCCTTGCTATTGTGAACAAAGCTGCAATAAACATGGGTGTGCATATATCTGCTTGGATGTCAGTTATGGTCTCTTTAGGGTATATTCCCAGGAGTGGAATTGCTAGGTCAAATGGTATCTCTATTTGCAACTTTTTGAGAAAGCGCCCACTGCCTTCCAGAGTGGTTGCACCATTTTACACTCCCACCAACAGTGAATAAGGGTTCCAGTTTCTCCACAACCTCGCCAGCATTTGTTGCTTGCTGTTCTGTTAAATTTTGCTATTCTTCCTGGGTTGAGATGATTATCTCATAGTTGTTTTTATTTGCATCTCTCTTAGACCTAGGGATTTTGAACATTTCTTCATGTGCTTGTTGGCCGTCTGAATGTCTTCTTTGGTGAAGTGTCTGTTCATATCCTGTGCCCATTTTCCAACTGGATTGTTTACTTTTATCTTCTTGTGGTGCAGTTCTGGTTTCTTTAGGGTATATTCCCTGTAGAGGAATTGCTGAGTCAAATGGTATTTCTCTTTGTAACTTTTTGAGAAAGCACCATACTGCCTTCCATAGTGGTCACACCATTTTACACTAAAATAGCTGCTCTCAAACTTTTAAGACCTCAGTCACGATTCACCAAAGGATGGAGGATGTAGAAAGTTGTCTCTGTGAACAATGTCAGGCCCATTGATCTTGATGTCCCCCAGGACTATGGTCCTAAGGTTCCAGGAAGGACCATTAAAAAAAATAGGTTTGCTTCCTGTAAACCTAGCTACACCTGTTCTCTTGTACTTTCCAGCTACCCTGGTCTGGCATTAAATTGTCTACCTGATACATGATCCCCATCCACAGGCATTTTCATAAAGATGCAAAAATATTCATCTCATCAGGGAGACCACAGCTGCTGCCCAGACCAATCAAAATGATGCTATTTTGGAACGCTCACTATCAGAAAAAGAGCAAACCACACTATTGACGTATCTGGTAAATAATACTCACCTCATCGAAAATGACATTTTCTGCGGCAGTCTCCTCCAAAATATTGGAAGTGTCAAAAGAAAATAGGTTGCGTTCCATAACCTATAGTGAATCACAATGGGATAAAAGCAAAACAGACATTATCAAGTGAAAATCATCGCTGTATAACTTAAAGCCTAATGAACGTCTAATCTGGAATATAACTGTATGATTAGCCATGAGCCAAGTAGAGTGGCACTGAAATTGTATCCCTTCCTGGAGGCTGGGCCCTGTGCTGAGAACTTCATGTGGATTTTCCCTCTTAACGTCAAGAAGGAGAAATGGAAGTCAAGCCCTTTCTTGTTTTTCAGGTCCCTCTCTCTCTCTTGTTGATTTGGAACTGACTCATAGCTGACCACCCACTGGGTTTTAGAGACTGTAGGCAGCATGGGGAAAAGACTGCCCATCTTTTTCCTGGGGAGCTGTATCTATGAATTTGAACCGTAAGAGAGACACAAATCCATATGGACTATACCACCCGATTAATGAAGGAGAAATGCCAAAAATATTACAAAATTACCTTCAAAATATACACATGACTAATTATTAACTATAATCCTAAAAGTAATACTGTAACTATTCCTTTAAAGAGTTAATCTTAAATTCTAATGCTGAGGAGGCCCTGGTCCAATGACCCTCCTTACCTCTATCTGCCTCTGCTCTTCAGAAACCAAAGAAGTGTGTGTTGCTATTGGCCCCATTTGACGGATGAGAACACTGAGGCTATGTAACTTGCACAAAGCCAGGAACTGTTTTCACCAAGATTCAAATCCAGTGCTTGGTGACTTCAAGGTCTTTCCTCAAACGACAACGCTGTAAAGGAATCTTTTGCTTGGGACTTAATCTTTCTTATGAACTAGTGATAACTGGAGAGTGAATTTATACCACAAAGCTGGATCTAACAACAACAACAACAACAACAACAATCTGGCGGAAAGGAGTTAAACTGCGAACCCAAAAGCATGTGGTTCGAGGCTGCCAGTTGCTCCATGGAAGAAAGATGGGCAATTTCCTCCCATGCATGAGCTGTCTTTGAAAACTCCCTGGCGGGTTGACTATTTATTGATTCTGAGTTGACCCCACTGAACAGCACCCCTAGCTTGGGAGAGAAGATGCTGTTTCTCTCCTGGAGTCTTTGTGAAGTCTGAATCACAGCAGTGGGAGAGGGGGCGTGGCTTTGCTTTAGGACCTGCTTTGCAGGCTTGAGAGGAAATGGCAATGTCTTCTGGTGCTGATCAAGGAGCTTTGTTGTCCTAGTCCCATAGAGAGCTGCCGTTAACTCCAAGTCCACGCTTCTACCAGTGTCTCCACCACAGCTCCATAGGAGAAAGGTGGGCAACCTCCAGTGCGATTTACAGCCTCCAAAAGTCAGCAGAGGCTCAGCTATGCACTGGCTCCAACTTCAGGGTAAACCAGATTTTCTCTGGTGCCCATATCAGGGGCTTCCTTCAGGGGAGTCCAACAAGAAACTTACAAAAGTGTTAAAAACCCAGAAGGCTTCATGTAAGCTAAAAGGCTAGCTGGAAACACAGCTCAGCATCTTTCTGCTGGTACTGAAATGTAAGCTGCTCCTCAACTCTGCCACGTGAAAGCACGATGCGTAGAGGTAGATCCTCAGAATGCTCAAGAAAAGTAAGAAGTATGAGTCTCCGGAGACAGTTTCTCTCAAATTTAAGTGATACTGGGTGCTGTCAAGTCAACTACGATTCATAGCACCTCTGTGAACAACACATCGGAACCTCGCCCGTGTCACCCTCTTGCTCCCCCTCAAGCTAAAGTCCACTGCTGCGGTCACTGTGTGGAGCCATCTCATTCAAGATCTTCTCTTTTGCTGTCCCTCTACTTTTCTCAGCATAATCTCTTTTTCCAAAGACTGGTCCTTCCTGAGAACATGCCCAAAGTATGTAAGAAGTTTAAATAATTTACTGAGATAATGAAATTTTAAAACCTTAAAACATTGTCAGAACAAATAAAATGCATCAGTGGCCTGGATGTAGTGAGGTCCACTGACCAGTCTGATTTCTACCCCAGGATTCTAGGTCATATCTGAACTGGCGGGCAAAGTCTCATCCTGGTGAGCAGGATGAAGGGGGCCCCACTGAGGAAGAGGAGGGTTATCTCAGAAGGGTGTGGTCTTATTGGCTTGGAACAAGTTGTAGGTCTCTTCTTGCTGACACAGAATGCCATCACCGTCCAACAAGCAGGAGGCCACCACTGAGACCTGCTGGTGTGAGGAAAAGCCAGCCTTGGCGTGTTTAATACATCCAGCCCTTCTGACTTTGAGATGCAGGGTTAACAGGAAAGTGGAAGCAGAGTTCTGGAGATATGAGGTGTGGAGCCAGGGGAAAAGGAAGACTATCTAGCACAAGAGAGGAAGATCCTCAATGAGATGGATTGATTCAGTGACTGGATAATGGGGGTCGGTGTGTCAGAGACAATGAGGTTGGCTCAGGACAGAGCAGAGCTATTGTACACAGGGTTGCTATGAGTCGCAGGCAATTCAAAGGCACATAACAACAACAACGTCTAGTTCCTAAAAATTTTCTGCGTGTTGAGACAGTGCCTTCAAAGGGGCCTTTTATAGGGGCCAAAACTCCTCCTATCCACAAAGCACACACTTGTGTGAGGGAATGAAAGAGGGGGAAAAAATCCATATAAATGAGTGAATGAAAAGCCTACTAAAAAACCAAAAGAAAACAAAAAACTCTATGCACTTGTATAATAATGGCCAAGAAGGCTGCCCCTGATCTAATCACTATGTTTTTCCACATACAAAAAAATTGAGCTCGGCCTAATAAGAGTATTTTTCCTCTCTTTATCCTAAAACTTAGCATCTCGAGTGAAAATAACCTTATATACCAACATGAACAACGATGGATCTGTGAAATCAATTTCACTCACTCTCTCTCTCATCGTGGTCAAATCGACCCTGAATCATCGCCACCCTCCATCAGGGTTCTGAGGCTGTAAATCTTAACCTGACATGTGGTCCTTGGTCATGTGATGGCATTTTCATATAAATTAAAAAAAAAAAAAATCTTATCACCAGGGAGACAGTTTCTGCCTAGACCAACCACAAGAGTGCTATCTGAGAACACTTAACTGCTATAAACACGGAAAAAGGCTGCATCCATGTATTTGGTGTCTAACATTTACCTCTGCTGTGCTCGTGTCAGGCCGCTCCTCCTGCCAACTTATGTACGGCAGGATGTCCACGTCCTCTTTGGCAGTGAGTTCCGAGATACTGGGAATATGTGGAAAAGGTGACTCATTCGCATCCTATATTGAATCACAATGGGAATGAAGCAAAGCAGACATTATCAAGTGAAACTCTCGCAATATATTCCAAAGCCTGAGAACGTCTAATCTGGAATACGATTGTTTGTCTGTCTGATCAGCCACCCGTCAGCCGAGTAATGCTCCTCTTGGATCCCTTCCCAAGGGCTGGGCCCTGACTCAGGTATCTCTACTAACTAAGTCTTGCATGGTACTTTTAAAACATCATTTAAAAAAACAACAACCTGGCCAGTGTGGGATAATTACTCTTAACATGTTAAGATTATTTTAAAAGACAAATCATTTAACCAGGAATTAAGAGCAACACATACCCTTTTCTCAACAGCCACAAAGCTTGTAAACTGTGTTAGGAGAGAGTTTTCTTTGCTGATTTTAATAAGCTGAGATTTCAAGGCTTGCTTCTTCATCTAGAATACAACAAATGAAATCATGGCTTGTGTTATTTTTTCACTATTTAGCTATATCTGATCAATTACGAGTATGAAATGATCTAAAAAGTTGTGGGGTTTTTTTCTATGACAATTTTATAAGAAGTTTAGCGAATAAACCTGTCTAAATATCAAGTAGGTAACGTCAGTGTTCCCTGCAAAACAGAATCAGCTGACTAGCCAGGCAAAGAGGGTAGAAATCATTCCGAGTCATGTGGCTCTTTTCTATTTTTCCTTCTTTTACAGGTAAGCCGAGGAACAGGTGCCTCGTTCTCATTTGAAGAATCAAGGCTTGGGCAGGTGGATGACTTGGTTAGTCTTAGTCACCTGCTTGGAAAAGCAGGATCAGTAAAAGACAGGAAGCCCCTCAATGAGATGGACTGACAGTGACTGTGGTCAAAGGCTCAAGCATGACACGATCCTGAGGATGGCACAGGACAGGGCAGGTTTCTTTCTGTTGTTCACAGGGTCACTATGCGTCGCAGTGGACTCGACGGCACCTAACAACCTAACACTCCATGGCAGGGCTGGTCAAGGACCAGGCTGCCTTCCTCTGAGGTCAGTACTACCTCTCAGGAGCGGAAAAAGGGGGAACTTTAAGAAAACTGAACATAAAGGTAGTTACTTCGAGGAAAATGGAGTACAGGGGCAGACAAGAGAGTTTGTCACTTAGGGACAGTTTTCAGGGCACCCGAGCCCCTCTAGGAATGGCTGAACACCAAGGTTCCCAGTCTTGTTTGAGCTCTCCAGCCTCAGGGGCCACCAGGCAGTCAGGGCAGGGGAGCTGAGTGGACCATGGACTGGAGTCATTAGCACAGTGAGGAGGGGAAGGGGGGCTCCGGCTTTACTGTGGGCCGTGGTGCAGGTCCCTCACCGCTGGTGTGCCCAAGTTTCTTTGTTAGTACAATGGCAATACCAGACCTTAAATAGTAAGAGTGAGACGAGATCATGTCCATTACAGACTTGCCACTAGTGGCTGTTCTCTCGCCTCCCCAGCAGAGCTCTTAGTGGCTGGGTGCATCTCAGTGGCTGGGAGCACCTCGGTGAGTGTACCCAGCAACCAGGAGTGCACCTCGGTGCGTGTACCCAGCAACCAGGAGTGCACCTCGGTGCGTGTAC